ATAATAACATCTTATAATTTATTGAGATCAATTAGAACAAAGCATATGCATATGTACATACATACAAGAAAAATAGGATTTTCATTAGTTCCATTTTATTTTAAAAACTATTTTATGCAATTGGCTCTAGTTTGTATGTTGAACATACTCTACAAATTCTGAGACTCGGAAAAAATAAATTACAACATATCGTATTAAAAACAAAAAATAACGAAAACAAAAGTTATTAATGAAAATCCTAGTTCCGAATGTACTAAACAAAGAAAAAATTACTATTTTGCCTACAACATTTTGGAGTTCGTTGCCCCCCACTTGGAGCTCAAATTTACCTACTTGTACACTATGATGGGATACTTGAGCTCAAATTTCAGCTTCCTAGCTCTTATCGTTTGGGCTGTGGGGTGTTGATTGTGTTTCAATTTTTCCACGGGAAAACTTCCCTTTTTCATGTTCCAGGAAAAATGGTAAAAAATCAAGTATTACACAAACCAAAGTTGAATCCAACCAAATAAAAATTGCAGATTTTTCATACAATCTTTGGAGCCCGTTTTCCCCCCTTTGGCGGTCGAATTTTCAAAAATCGCTTCTTAGTGCTCACCTACACTATAAAAGACAACTTATGTCCAAATTTCAGCTTCCTAGTTCTTACCTATAATTCTGGCCCCAGGAAAGATAGCGAAAAACCCAGTACATATACAGTTTTTCTTGTATTTCTTATGAGAGTATACAAACTAATAATAATAACTAACAAAATAATTATATAATCAGATGAAAATTGTAGATATTTCATACAAACGTTGTAGCTCGTTTTCCACCACCAGCTCGAATTTTCCAAAATCCCTCCTTAGTGCTCACTTTCACTGTGAGAGGGATCTTGTTTCCAAATTTCAGCTTCCTAGCTCTTACAATTTGGGCTGTGCGGTGATTGCCAATCTGTCAGTCAGGACAAACTGTTTTATATATACTTGCATAGAGATAATTGTACTACGTCCATACAGATATTTTACAAGTACTATTATTACACTAAAGGATATTTCTATATGCCTGTATTCGTACAAACTCTCTTACTATTATTTACAACTACTACTTACTACCTTTAAGACACTTCATATATTTACTTCATATTATTACTTTAAATACTGCTACTATTTTAATTGGCACAGCCATTATAATTGCTATTTCAATTCTTACTTGTATAGCTTATATGTGTATTTACTACTTATTTCTCAGTCTCTTCCATTAAATTCAAATGCAGCAAATAGCAACTTATTTACTTGAAGTAGCTAGCCAGCCTGCCGACGGCTTTTGAATGGCCATAAACTGCTTCTCGGTACACGCTCACAATCAACCATTGAAATGCGTTCAATTCGGTTAGAATGTACAGGAGTCGAGTCTGAGCAGCCATTAGACTGTTTGCTTAAGCGACTCAATATTGACAGGTCCTGACAGATACTAAACTAGCCTTTACATATGTGCGCCCCTTGAATAAATACAGGCGAATGAAAAGCGGCGGTAATTTTGCATACATTTTAAGCAAAGTTCTCCCACATCAGCAAACAAAACTCAATTCGTATCGCCAATGCGCTCCCTGGGCCCCAACAAGGGCAAAGTTTTCACATTTTTGTTTAACATTTTCAAATGGTTTTTGCATAATGGAATTACATAGTTGAATTTTCCCTTTGCTGTTTTTCGCTGCATACACAAAAACTTTCGCTGAACTTGTGCCAAAAAGTTGGCGCACAGCTCACACTTTTTCTTCCGTCTTCGTAGATCTACATTCCTTAGGACTTTTATGCGTTTCTGATGGCGCTGTACCATTTCCGCTTCCGTTAATGGCAACTGGCTTGCAAGTTGCATCGAAACTTTTCACTTAGGGAGACAACACTCGTCCGTTTTTAATTAAAATATTTATGAATTTGTCTTTGAGCGCGAAACGTGCTCTAATTTATCTTGATCGAAGTAGACAATGGCTGAGCGTTGGACGAGAGTTGAGTCATTGCGTCAATTGTCGTTGTATTGAATGGAAAATTTTGTTTCTAATTAAAAAGCTGCCAAATCAAACAACATACATGGCATAATAATAAGAAGAAACATTTTTAATTATTTTACTGAAATGGGTTTGGTTTGAGTAGAAAAACGTTGTCGCTTGTAGACTAAGTATAAAGCGAATACGAGTATTATCATATAGTTTGTATAGACAGATAGAAGGAGTTTATATCTTAATATCTATCTGGGGCAATATAAAATTGAGCTGATGTGGCAACAGTTTTCGAGCTGAGCCAGATATTGAAACCGGCTAATGAAGATATTCATTTATTTTTTAAAATTCTTACAACATTTTCTCTTGCTTTTTAGTGCCATTAATTATTAGTTATCTTTACTGATCTGTAAAGCCCTCTTGGAACATTTTTCAATACTACTAATTACGTTTGAATATTGTCTGTGACTGGATAATAAATGTAAATGCTCCTCAAATAGAATAATTTTAGGGGCCTCAACAAGTTCGATTACTCTTTTTAGCATTAATTCCCATACATACGTCATAGCTATGTCTGAAATGCAAATGAAGTGTCAGAAAACCCCTTTAATTTGCTTTAATAGCCACAATGGCTGAGTTCATATTTCACACACGCCTCACATTATATTATTTATCGACTAGCTCATTTACATTTTTCACAAATCTCTGGAAATAATCAAACAGTAAACAAACCACAATCGCAGATTCCAATGCTTGATTGCCGACATTAGTTGCCAATCCGGGTTTTATAACCAGAATTTCAGCGACGGGTGCAAATACAATAAAAAAAAGTTATCTAACAATTGTGAATTGGTTAACACATTTTGTGCTGTGTAATTAGACATATAAATTATTTTGACCATATCATATCATAATCCCAATAATTGGAAAGACAAAAAAATCTTAGCTGTTCAATCAAGTTGTGTATACTAAAATATTATACATATTAAAGATGTTGTTTTAAGAAATTAGGTACATACAAACATAACATAAACATATCATAACAATATCATACTTACAATATCATAACATTAATTAATACGAGGGCGGCATAAGAAACAAATTTGTTTTGTTTTGCATTCAAATTTATATATTTCTTTCAATAATTTATATTTAGCCTTAAACCGTCTATAGTAAAGTGTCAAATGTCTATTTTCAAATATAGTATACATATTTCTCGTCCAAAAATGCTTAGAATTAACATCGTATCGATAATACGAGAGTCCATAACACGAGAGTCCAAAAAGTCAAAAGTTGCGGATCTACTTCACAGTGTCTAGATATCACTTCATTGACAGTTTCTTGGTTATCTTTGGCCTTGGCTCCCGTGTCAGGATAATAGATGAAAAGCATAGAAACACGTTTATCGCTTATAAACATATTATTTACCATTTGTTTACCATCTTAATTGATTGACGAAATATGTTTTCTGCTAAACTTTAAAATTCTATTGTTTTTTCATCACAAAAGTTCTGTCCTTTAAACGATTATGATATCAAGACTTCACGATAAATATCGATATGGCAAGAGCGTACTTATTAAAATAACAATAGCCTTGTTTTAGTAAAACCTTATGGAACTATATTAGTCCAGTAGTGTGCAGTGATAGTTTGGAAAATTTTAAGGCTAACATTTTTGACATCATAATTTCTTCGGTGTCAATTTCCTTGCTAGGTCTTAATGAGTATATGGAATGCTGTGATGAGCTACAGTGAACATCTGGAAGAAGTTTCCTTATTTCCATATATTATCCAATCATTGAACATCTTCACATTTTTATATATCTATGTTCAACATACTATTGCTCCCCAAAAATGACAACTAGGTTGATAGAAATTAAAAAAAAAAATGGACTGAGCCGATATTCTTGTACACCCACCTCCTCATAATTATACTAATTTAAAAAATGTTTTATTTTTTAGAATTCATCTATGATTCTTAAGATGTGCAAAGTTTCTAAAACTAAAATAATATACTTGTAGTATTGCACTGGAATAGCCATCAAGTCTGACTGACAAGCGAGACTAAAACAAAGCATGAGTGGCTGTAAATTTCAATGTACTTGTAAAATACATTTTCAATGTCTTTATAATTGTAATCTGTAAAATATTTAATTCGTTGTCTGTATTTAAGATTGTTTAGATGAGTATGTGTTTAAACAAACCTACTAGTAATCTGAGGCTCAAGTTCAAAACTGATAATAATTGAACCCAACTCAGATTAGGCAATAGCTGCTGTCAGCTATTTTCCTCGTAAACAACGTCGTAAGCTGTTCGTTGAAGACTGAATGCAGTCTACAGGTAATTCATAGAATATTGAAATTGTAAGAGAGTACGAGTATACTCGTATATATATATATATATATATATATATATATACAACTTACCGATGTTCTCATTTCAATTTTGTGAGTCCCACAGAATATTATCATAGCTGCTTCTAGCCTTCAACTTACAAATAAATATTCTTTTTCACTTATAATTTATATATATATATATATATATATATATATATATATATATATATATATATATATATATATATATATATATATATATATATATATATAAATTATAAGTGAAAAAGAATATTTATTTGTAAGTTGAAGGCTAGAAGCAGCTATGATAATATTCTGTGGGACTCACAAAATTGAAATGAGAACATCGGTAAGTTGTATGATTACAAATTTTTGGTAGATAGGATTCACATATAATTAATGGTAACTGATTATTTTTATTGTTCGTATTTAAACGATAATCAACTTACCCGCAATATTTAAATTATGATAAATGTCTTGGCTGTTTCTTCCCCTCTCTGTGCTAATTAAAGTTTTGCTTAGCTTAGCTTAGCTTACTCGTTTTGCTTTTTGATTGTATTTTTTTATACTGTATTGCGAATTTGTTTTTTTTTTTTTTGTTTTCAAATGGGGCAGAACATTATAAAAGCGCAATATTTTCTAGGGGCTCAGTTAGTTTTGCCGCAAAGGTCCAGAGTATGAGATTGTTTATTGTGTTGAGTGTTTGCGCCGCGGTCGCTTCAGCCGGATATGGAGGTGGAGGCGGTGGTGCCAGTTCCTCAGCTTCGGCAACGGCATCGGATTCATCTAGCGCAGGCGCGGGAGGAAAATTCGGCGGAGGTGGTGGTCATGGACCAGGTCTAGGATTTGGAGCCGAACTAGGTGGCGGTGGCCCTGGATTTGGTGGTGAGGGGCTTGGTGCTGGATTTGGCGGTGGTCTCGGAGGCGGTTTAGGGGGTGGAATCGGTGGAGCCGGCGGTTCTGCTTCCTCTTCTTCTGGATCAAGTGTTGGAGGCGGTGGAGGTAAACATGGTGGAGGCGGCCTAGGATTTGGTGGTGGAGGCGGCCCAGGATTTGGCGGTGGAATCGGATCCCATGGGGGAGCTGGCGGTTATGGAGGCGGTCACGGCAAATTTGGAGCTGGCATTGGAGGTGGAATTGGAGGTGGCGGACCAGGATTTGGAGGTCCAGGATTCGGTGGTGAAATTGGTGGAGGTGGCCACGGAGTGAGCGGTGGTTTTGGAGGCGGACCTGGTAAACACGGTGGTGGTATCGGTGGAGGCATTGGCGGAGGTGGCATTGGCGGAGGTGGCCTTGGCGGAGGTGGCTCAGGATTTGGAGGTCCAGGTGGAAAAGGTGGTTACGGTGGTGGTGGGGCCGGTGGCTCAGCTTCATCCTCTGCTGGCACTGGTGCTGGTGGCATTGGAGGTGGCGGCCCAGGATTTGGCGGTCCAGGATTCGGTGGCGGAATTGGTGGAGGTGGTCACGGAGTTAGCGGTGGCTTTGGAGGCGGACCTGGTAAGCACGGAGGTGGTATCGGTGGTAGCGTCGGCATTGGAGGAGGCGGCCTAGGATTTGGCGGCGGAATTGGTGCAGGCGGCCATGGAGTGAGCGGTGGTTTCGGTGGCGGCCATGGAAAGCACAGCAGCGGCAACGGCGGTAGTATCGGCGGAGGTGGCCCTGGATTTGGAGGTCCTGGAATCGGTGGTGGTCATGGCATTGGTGGAGCCGGAGGTTCGGCTTCATCTTCTGCTAGCGCCAGTGCTGGTGGCCTTGGAGATGGTGGCGCAGGACTAGGTGGCGCAGGACTAGGTGGCGGTGGTCACGGCGGTCTAGGCTTGGGAAACATTATCGCTGGACCAGGTGGTGGAATTGGAGCTGGCGGCTCAAGTTCAGCGAGCGCTAGTGCTAGCAGCTCGGCCGGTGGTGGGGGAAGCCTCGGTGGAGGATTGGGAGGACACGGAGGCGGTGTTGGTGGATATGGCGGTAAGGGCGGCTACGGAGGCGGCGGTTATGGAGGCGGTGGCTATGGCAAAAGTGGTGGATTAGCCAGTGCCAGTTCCAGCGCATCGGCAACAGCTGTGGCCGGTTAAGACAAGACAATTTCTAAATTAAGAGTATTAAGATTCCTTAATAAATTGTACTATAAATTGTGATATAAATCGTTGTTTTTATGGAACTCATAAAATTGAATACATTCTCTAAAGGGTTTCATAACATGGTGGTTACATGCCATAACCATCAATTAGCTGCTTGGCAGGGAACATTCATTTAGTTACATGAACGATAATCAACGTTTTTATTAGTTTCAGTACGTCTAACTAAAAATCAATTAGTTTGCTGCCGACTAATCACTGATACGGACACCTCAGCTTAGCTCTGAGCAGTTTGGCAACTACAATATACTCGTATGTATGTACGAGTATGTATATAATCGTATGTACAAGTATGTACGTACTTGTCGGTTTCAAGTCTCTCAATTTCTCGTAAAAAGATGCGCCATTTCATTTTCATTTGACTTCCCTAAAGGCTTTATCTGCTGCAGTACCCAAGAAAGTACAACGTTTGTTTCCTTGCCGTAAACTTTTGTCAGGTGCCGCGCATCAGACTCTCATCACGTTACGACGGCAATCTTTCATAACTTGCGATTTATTATGGCCTGGCATATTAAAAGTTTTCATTTTGTCGTGCCACTAAAACACTACAGGGAAATTACGTCATCCATTCTGAAGTCTCAAAGTCACGTGCTGCCCCGTCATCACCGCCAAAACTATAAACTGCTATGTCTGCCGGCAGCTGCCAACTATTAAAATCCTTTGCATACGTTTTTCAAGTGGCATCATTATCAAATTTATAACACATGACAACTGGGTTGGGGTCTCCATCTGCAGAGCGTGTGTGCGTGAGTCATATTTGAACATCTTCTGCCTTTATTCCGTCTTTACTTGTATAAGGTAAGCGTTAAATGGAGTGAAATGTGCAGGCATGTGTTTGGGGCTTAAAGTCTAACCAAAGTAAGATGAATAAGGCCTGTGGAGGAAAAACCTTTTTTTATTTTATCTGACATCGGGTAACACGTTAGAAAGGTAAGCCGAGGATATAGCAATATTTTTCTGTATGAACATCGATATCCTTTAATCTTAGAAGATAAGAGCAATAAGCTGTGACTTATTTATTGATATTATCAAATTTAATCTTTTGTATAGCTCGCCAGCCAGTGATCGAGACTATATTCAGGAAAAAACAAATTCAAGTTATGTTTCACAATTTAATTTAAATGTAATTGCATTTTGTTTGTATTAAATGTTTGGTTTACACAACTCTATTATATGTTTATTTTAAAATTAAAGTGAAAACTAATTTTAATTTTGATGTAACAAATAAAAATACTCTGATAAAAATATTTATTTTTCGGCTGAATATCTCTTTAAATTCAAGCAAAGGCTCGTTCTTCACTTCCACGATCGTTTGATTGCATATTTTTGATTGCGTGATTTTTCAAGATGTTCCCATTAGCATTTAAGATTATTTCTACACCCAATCGAAATTGTCCTTTTATTGGCAACTATTTTTTATGGTTCATGCTTAAAAACAAATGATAATAAATAATTGAGCACACTTTTTGTTGCAACTTTTTGTCAAGTGTTTCAAAAAGAGTTTTGTAGCCTTTTTCATGATGAAATGCTCATTTCAAATTACATAACTCAGCTTTAGATTGACCAAACTTTTTAAGAATGTTACGTACACCAAGTCATACAAGTATATACGGGTGCGCCATCTTTTATGTCGGTATGTAAATATTGAATAACTTTGTCATTAGTGAACCGATTGACTTGAGTAGACCAATGTTGAAAACCTCAGTTCAAGAAATTGTACAGAACCAAATTAAATAAAAATATCTCATACTTGAAAATCTGTTGTTTATTTTCAAAGATATTCAATGTTTACATACCGACATAAAAGATGGCGCACCCTGTATATAGGTGCAGAAATTGTGCTGAGCACTTTAAGAGTGTGCACCAAAAATTAAAAAAAATAAAATAAATAGCTAAGTAATTTACCGACTTGTTTATATAAATAAGAAAACCCATAAAACTTAGCTTTTTTAAAAGCACAGTTGCATCTCTGATCGCTAAATAAAAATTAAAAAAAAGCCAAGCGTTATGCCTAACTTTGCCGTAATTAATGGGCTATTATGCAACGACTTGTGGGCAGCGCGGAAGGCACTGAATGTGCGAGCATAAATCTCCTATATGGCCAACTCCAGCAAGCCTCAATTACAGACGAGGTTTTATGTTGTAAGCGCTTAAGAACAATTTATCATTAAGTTTCTTACAATTGCAAATTGTTGCACACACTGTGGCGGCAACAAATTGAAATCTTAGGCAAACTTTGTGCAGCCTCAGAGTGCAATTTTATTGCCGAGACCAAGACTAAGCCCGACACCGACAAAGACGGCGACGCCGAGAACGATGTCTGCCACATCGAAAGATACACATGTATTTGTGTGTACTTGTATACAAGAATATGGCAGCAGCTGTTGGTCGCTGGCCCTGCCTTGGCCTAACAGCCATTGGCAATAAACTCAGACCAATTTGCACAAGGACAATGAACCCCTGCGGTGCACTTTGGAGCTTGAAAGCGGAAGCGCGTGCGGAGGGCTAACTGCAACAAACTGGCTGACTGCAGCTGCTGGCGGTTTGCCGTACAGACCTTCTCTGTTCCTTTTGTTGTGCTTGTTGTTGTTGCCATTTGTATGATTGCAACAGTTGTTGCTGAGCAGCGGCATTTTATTTGCATGCCAACGCGCGAGGTTATGCCCATGCACACTGGTCAGAATTCCTAAAATTTTGGCATAAATTAAAATTTTGTTTTTTTACTTTTTAAAAAAAGTTTTAATAGCGTAATAGAGCATCAAATAGTGTATGCAAGTCGCATAGTGAATAATTTTTCCTCTAACCCTGGAAGTCCTCAAAGTCAGTTGTCATTTTGTCATTTTTAATGCCCAATAAATATTGTTGAAACAGTTTAGCTATTAGATCCTTGCAATGGAAAACATAGCCAAAGGTATGTCGAATACTAAACAAAGTAACCAAATTTTATGTTTTCATTTATGTTGTCTTCGTCGATGTTGTTCGTTGTGTGTTGTTGTCGGCACATTTTTTTAGAAAGTGCTAACCTAATGAAATATTTTTGTGGATTAAAAGTTTGTAAGCCCTTAATGGTCCTTACTACTACGTATTGCTATTTGTTCATTAAAATGCTGCTTTTTGCTCCTTTTCAAAAAAATTGCGCTTATTGCTCCAATTGTTGACATTTGGATCAGCAACAAAGACTCAGAAAACGCATTAAAGCAGTATATGAATATTGCAGAATATTAAAGCAAAAATCGTATATGAATATAATACTATGTTGATATCGGACAAAGTGAAATCCTTCGCCAATTATATTAAAAAGCACATGCCTAGTTGTAATGAAACTCTATGGAAATTCAAAAAAACCCTTGAATTGTTATGCTTTTAACATGGTTGTCGAAGTTGATGGTCATTTTGAGAATTGATTGAAAACGCTACAGTCGAGCAATTCCGACCGTGAAATACCCTCTAAGACAAATTTCTGGCACTGCGTTATATGCGCCCACAGCAGAAGCAAAAGCAACAAGTTTATGGACGTAGTACTGGAGTGAAATTGTTTCGCTAATAGCTTTTCTATAAATTGAGCGACATATATGTAATTTAAAATAAAAGTAGATAAATGTGTATTAATTATGTGTGCAAAGTTTGGTTTATGTATGTAGCTATCGAAATTTGGACAGTATTGACGGAATACTGTAGCGGGGAGAGGGGGAGGAATATAAAAAAAAGAATAAAATAAACTTGTATAGACTAGTGACTAGGAGCGTCTACATACCAAGTTTGGTTAATATGCGCTTAGCTCATACCAAAGTTAGTGAAAGTCGGCCCTTTCGGTTATATGGCAGCTATATGAATTAGTGGCCCAAACTCAACCAAAACTTGGTATGCTGTCAAAATATGCGTACAAACTAAATTTGAGGTACGTTGCCAAATACGCGGGTAATTCAATTTTGCGCATAACCGCCAACCAGTCGGCCAACTATGAAAATGCTAATAACAATAGTCGTGCGCGTGGTCCTCTTCTATTGGCAAATAAACCGAATATGCATATTACATTTTATGTTTTGAACATTTCAATTATTAGGCTCTATTGAGATTTTGTTGCTGCATGCGTGTGTGCATTGGTTTACATAATTAACAGGCCGTTCATTAGTAGGCATTTTGTTTTGGCTCGCAGCAACACTTGCTAATATGAGCATGGATATGCAAATATTCTTACCAACGACAAATTATTTTAATTTGATTGCGTTTAATATAAAATTTTTCCAATTAACACCGATCAGTTTATTATGGCAAATTGTTTATTAACATCCATTTCAGCGCAAATATTGGTAAAATGTATCAATTTGTATTTCTCGCCCAGGGGAATGAACAAAACTGTCCAAAACAGAGGAAGCTGTGTTCGTTGCAAAATATCCTGATTTATATAACTGAATATCAAGTGCAACAAAAAGGAAAATCCGTTCTTAAATTAAAGTTCATTTGAAAGAGGTATTAGACTTGGGAATCTATAAAAACTCTTCTAAAAATTTTAATTTTTAAGTACGAATATATTCGCGTTTTGATATTACAAGTAAAGGCCTCAGAAAATATAATCAATTTTCGACTCATTAAGAAAACTGTCAATATTTAAAGATAATGAATATGTACTTAAGCCACGATAAGTTAGTATAATAAATCAAAGCATTGTAACTAAGAATTAGTACGACAAAGGCATAGTATAGATGTCGGTATAGTATAGATGTCGGTTCTTTGAGTTGTAGAAAATTTAAAAATACACACAAAAAGGCGTTTAGTTAAAAGTTGCTTTAAAAGTTATATCTAGGTTATGCTTTGGTTACATCTCAATCATCCATAAATAATCAGTTTAGGAGCTCTTAAAAACTTAGCTGTTTTCGCAAACCATCTTTTGTTTTATTTTCTACGGTGATAAAGCACTGAATATATTTATCGCTCTTACCGACTCCTTTCTATGCTTCACTTTTCCAACTTTTCAGAACTTGTCTCGATGTTTCCATATTAATGAACGAGATATTTGATTAACTTGCAGTTGCTGTATCGGTTCAATGAACTATATACATAAAAGCAATTCTGAAATATGCATGTGAACAGCTAGTGAAATGTACTCCCTACCTGTTAGGACCCAGACAAATAAGTCAAAATTATATAAGGAAAAAAAGAGGCACAACAGGCGGTGCTTATATAAAATACAACGCTTTAAGATTAGATTATGCGCGTAAAAAAACACAATTAATTTTTTGGATATACAAGTAGATAAAACAAAAGCCACTAACCGGTTTGATTAGTCAATTATGTGCCCGCCATGATGTTTACATTAGTTTGTTTGCCGTTTGCATAAGTTAAGAGCCCAGTCCAGACAAACATTTGACAAGATGCGAATCACCGCGAAATTAGCATGAACTCGAATTTATTTGTTTATTTGGCAAAAAACGCAAATTAATTGATTCAAAGTGCATTAATTATTAAAACTTCAAGCATTTCACTTTTCCGGCGTGCTTCCCCGTATTCGATTTGCTTTGGTGGCCTTCACTAGTGTTAATTGCACAATTGGCACTTCTATTCAATATATCAATATATGTTCGTCATGTTGTCTAAAAATCACCGAATTCTGTCTACAAGTATAACCTATTCAAACGTTTTTTCACTAAAAGGGAAAACCCTTGCCGACCACTTGCTCTATGACGTGCTCTTCGACACGGTTCGGCAGCTGTCTAAGTAATTGAAGTGCGATTTGGTATGACGACATTGAAACTGGTTTTCCAGTTCGAATTCCTGTTGCTTTTCTGTTGTTCATTAACAATTAGACATTAAGTACTTTAATATCTTGCAATGCTTTATACTTTCTGTTTCAATGTTTGAAACTTGCTTACTTGCAATTCCAGTAATTATTTTATAATGTTTATTAATGTTTAAACACGCGTTGTTATATTTGTTAATTATTTTTAGCGATAATGTTGTTTGCTGTGTCAGTAATTTTTACAAGTGCATGCGTATAGAAGATGACAAATATATATGTGAATAATTAATATAAATATTCAGCACAGCTACCAATTCTTTTTAATTGGACGTGTAATCTGACAATCGAGAAATTGTCTTCAAATAACAATGTTTGTTATTTATTATTGTTACCCAAACATCAACGCATCAAAATCTTGAAGAAATAATGATTGAAATAAATTATTGAGTCATGCCATGACATGACTATTTGTTGTCCGCCTCTTAAATGAAAGCAATTTATACTTATTATTAAAGACTTGCGTGTTTGGAAAGGGCATTCAGTTTTTTGATTTGGTTGGGACTTTTATTTTTTTTGAGATTTTAGTATGATTTTCGAATATTAATTGAAATTATGACTTGGAGACATTAATAAAAAAAATGAGTGTAATATAACGAGGAAAGTGTTAAAAATGGTTTGTCTGACATTGAATATACACTTCAATTTTTTAATATTCACTTTATAGATGCCGTTTCATTGATGATCAATTCGCGTTTCCCTATGTTAACATTTAACTTGTTAGCTTACAATGATCATCGGTTGATATTTGTTATTGGCCTCGTTTAGTGCCAATTATTAGTTTAAACATTGAGCAGTGAAGCTCGTGTCACTATAGCTGAGTAATTATTAATTTTAAGCTACTTATGTTCATGTACAAGCCGCTCGTTGGGTTATTATTATGAGATTAATCTTTGTATTAATTGTCCCAGAACTTAGTGATGATGTAAAATGATATGGCGTTTATTTTTAGAGTAAATATTGTGTTTTGCTTCAATGATTGGTACTATGACATTTGTTGAGTGTTTAAGAAATGAGACAGTCAACTAAATCTACATGTTTAAAATAGTACATTATGTAATTGCTATTATTTTATAATTCTTTATTTAGATAAGTGTTAATCAAACAAAGATGTTCAAAAGTCATATTTACACAATTCTAAATATTTCAATTTCCAATTAAAATGGTATTTCATTCTATGCTGTAGCCTTTTCATGTGCTTGTGATAGGCTTTTTGTAGTTTAATTGCTCTTTAACAATATTATCCAGTGGCATCAGTGACAAAGCATAAACGCATTCAGTAAAAATGAAATTGAAGGAAAGGTTAATATTTTTTCTTTTCAATAAGCTGCAGAAATAGGTACACGCAAGAGTTACTAAATCATTTGTTGCTTTTTATGATGTTTAAGTACAAATAAACAAGGAATGTTTTGTCAACTCATGCAGCGCCCTAATACAAGCTTATGTAATATCAACAAATATACTTTATTTTTGCAGCTTTACAACTCTTTCCAGTACGAGTAGTTTTTCTGTTTACCACTATTCGATTAGAGCATTGATGACACCTTAATTACTTCATTGGCACTAGATTTATTTGAATACGACAGCAAATACTCGTAGGTAAATAACCTTTTCAAGATGAACTACTCAGCCATATACAATGTACGCACATCAAAATCACATGGCAAATATGTATCCAAATATGTTACTTGTGTGGCTCTGGGCTATTACGCACTATAGGCAAATGATTGTGATGATCTGAAGCAGATTGCTTCCAACCAGTATGGGCGAGAGCCACCTAACAAGTAATCAAGAATCACTCAATATTATCAATAGATTTGCCGCCTAGTTGTAAACACAATGCGACGAAGCGACGCCAACGCTGGAAGTCGAAATCTCACAGAATTATGCAGTCCGAAACGAACTCGTACGTCAACAAGTCTGGGATTCACCAATCATTGTGGAGAGCCGTTAGCAAAACGTAGCCAGCGATGGTAATAATGATCCCCATATTGGCAATGATGATGATGATCAAAATGTTAATAATTACAAATAAAAGCAAAATAAAAACCGGTATGCCCGCTTGAGCACCGAAATGTGACGAATGGGAATGTCGCATCGTGTATGGAGGCATATGAGCCGGCAATGCGAGCTCCATTTATTACGGCCTCACATGCCGACTGGGCACACTGAATGCTTTATGGGCACGCACGCACTATAAAAACATTTGTGGATGCCTAGTGGCCACATCAGTGAGACTGTTAGCTGTCCAGCGTTAACAACAAATCAGAAAACGAGCAAAACATTGCCACCATGAAGACTTTGATTGTGTTCGCGCTCTTGATAGCAGCCGTGGCGGCTCTGCCACAATTCGGCTTTGGCCGCCCAGGATTTGGTGGGCCAGGATTTGGTGGTCCCGGATTTGGTGGTCCCGGATTTGGTGGTCCAGGATTTGGTGGCGGGTATGGCAGGCCTGGTTTCGGTGGTCCAGGATTTGGCGGCGGTTATGGCAGGCCAGGTTTTGGAGGACCAGGGTTTGGCGGCGGTTTCCCACGTGGTGGAGGCGGCGGTGGCGGTTCTGCTTCTGCCTCATCCTCAGCAAGTTCGTCGGCAGCTGGTGGCGGCGGTGCTGCCTCCTCTTCAGCCTCTTCATCAGCATCAGGAGGCGGCAACTTCCGGGGCTGATTACCTTGTCAACTGCCAATGCGCTCCTTTTTGAGATTCTAGTTAGTAATTATTTAAATTAAAATGCTTTAGGCTAAGTCAAAAAGTCTGAACAGATTAAAAAACCAATATGAAAATCCAATTAAGTTTTCTACATTTTTTTGGGCACTCCCTGCAGATGCTGCAAAAATGTCCGTTCGTATCTTTTCAGTAACAAAATAAGCAACTATTGTGTGGATTGCATAATAATATATTCATTTGCTTGGTATAAGTCGCAATTGTAATAAAAATAAGCGTTCTTAATTATTTTCGACATAACTTTAACGAACGTGCCAGCAATTTTGAAAACATTAAAAAGCTATTACAATGACCAGAAAACTATTTATTTGTAGATAAACGTTATGCCACCGAAATCGGTGTTAGTATTCTCGTATGGAAAATTGGAAAAATGTTGAACTAATATTTAGGATTTTCCCAATTTTATAAGTTCTTGTGGTAGACCAAATATTCTTTACCTTGGCAAAGAGCTTTGAACCACTCTCTAAATAAATTTGTAAGCAAACAAGTATAACTTCATTGAATATTTAATTTGTTTGTTTGTTTATTTATGTTTTTTGTTGTATTGTCGAATTCTACAGTGTTAATTAAAATAATTTATATTAAAACACGCTCAGAAACAAGTTTTGTTCCTAATGGATCCTATTGATGTCATATATGACTATTGGTTGGGTGGTTTTTATTTTGGGTATGGGACATATTAAATTAATAGGTGTATTATAATAAGAATCAAATTACTAACAAATACTATATATACATACAAAATAGCAATATTTTTTAACTCAGATTGACATTTCCACCTAGAGTATTCCACCATAAAATTATGCTGATATGTTTTTAATTATATTTTAAAGATTAAATAAAATTAGTTGATTTGAAAATCCTAGAATCTGAAAAATTATGTTACAATGTTATTGCCCATGAAGTTATATATGTATGTATTTAATTTTATTTAATTTTTCCCTCTTTGTTAATTAATATTTCTTTGAACTACTGGCTAACTGGGTTGACCTGCTAGAAAACTTTAGAACCAATATTATTAAGTTTAAAGTTTTCTGTATTATTATACCCTGTACCCAAAAGGTGAAAGGCTGTACTAGTTTTGTGCGAATGTATATAACACATAGAAGCAGGCGTGGCAAAGGTATATATATTATTGATCAGTCGATAGCCATGTCTGCCCGTTCGTTCGTCTATATGTTCGTATGAGCGCAAGAATCACAGAAGGCACAGAAGGTAGCATCTCCGACCCCATAAAGTATATATATTCTAAATCAGCATGACGGGAGAAATCCATCTAGACATGTCCGTCCGTCTGTCCGTCTTGATGAACGCAAGGATATCAGTAACTATAAAAGCTAGAATAACCAAAGTTGGTATCCAAGTATCTCCTAGGTCCGAGAGAGGACGAGTTTATTTAATTTTTTTTGAATTGAATTGAATTTTGAATTTTGCACAAAGATGCGTTATATGTGTACGCTGTGCAAGCTCGTTTTATTTTTATACCCTGTACACAAAGGATACAAGGGTATATTAGTTTTGTGCGAGTGTACATGGAACACACAAAAGGAGGCGTGGCAGACCCCACAAAGTATTGTGAGCTTGTGTTATTTTTTTGATTCCCCCCACTTCCCCCCAATGGGGGTTTTCCCGATTTTCCATCCAAGCTGCCTTGTGTGAATAGGCAGAAAATGTATACTTTGGAATTTCCCTCCCTCCCCCCTCTCCCATGAAAATCGCGATTTTCTCTAACTCCCGTAATTCTTGGAATTTCGAACTAAAATATAAATAGCCCCAGTTAGTTATTATGTGTCCGTATGCCAAGTTTCACTATGATAGACCGATTTAACGAGAAGTTATAGCCATAAATATATTTGCTGCTGCAGCGCTGCTTAAGCGCTGATCGCGGCTGTTGTTGATGTTGCTCTTTGGTTGACTGCGAAAATGCTTACTTGTACACAGGCAGGAATAGATGCGCATAGGCATACATACACTCACACAGACGCAATTGCTATGTAAATGTGCAATTATAAACCCTTTACGTGAGTTCGAATACCGAGAGAGGTAAAATCGATCAAATTTTATTTTTAACTTCTTAATTTTTTTATTTTCTATAATTATTGTAAACATATGTACAGAGTATTTCAAAGTCGGGACACCCGACTTTAGATTTTTTACATGTTTTTTATTTTTTGTGGGATGTACAGGGTATTTAAGAGTTGAGCTTGCTCGACTTTACAATTTCTTTCTTATTTTTCATTTGAAATCTGTTTTGTTCTTTTCTTCAGAAAATTCCATGGTCACTTTTGTGCCTAGCATCCAGTATCACAAAATCAAAATGCCCGCTTACTTTTATGAGTGTAGAGTACAAAATCATAATAAACGAAAAAAAAGAACACTTCAAAGGTATGATCAGTGGGGAAGAGGGTGCCATAACTTATTTGAGCTTCTTATACATAATGTTAATCCGCTGAAGCAGCAGCTGTTGCCAGAACGATGTCCGAACTGGTACCGAAATGTGTCGGCGCACAGCGGGATCGGATCACATTCGAGACGCGTGAGCAGTATTGCTTAGATAAACTGTCCGATTTGTTTATGGTAAATATTAAGCTATTGACGACGCGTCGATGCTTGGCCGTTTGGTATTGTTTTCATGTTAATTTCTCTCTTTTGATTGCTGTTGTATTTTGTTTGGTGGATCACAAATCGAGACCGGTCGCCGGTCGCTCTCTTGCACACCTATTGCAGAACGCTCTGGAATTGTATAAAAAGCAGTGCGCTTGGGAATAGATGTTAAGTTTGTGGATTCACTTCACACTCAGCACAAGTTCGCCATGAAACTTTTAATAGCGCTCTCCGTCCTGCTTGGCGTAGCCGCAGCATTGCCTCAGTTTGGTGGTGGCTTCGGCGGTGGCTCTGCCAACGCTAATGCCAACGCTAATGCTCAAGGTGGTGGTTTCGGAGGCCGCCCAGGTGGATTTGGTGGCGGCCCAGGAGGATTTGGAGGCGGCCCAGGTGGCGGATTTGGTGGTGGCGGATTTGGTGGCGGCCCAGGTGGATTTGGTGGCGGCCCAGGAGGATTTGGTGGTGGCCCAGGAGGATTTGGTGGCAAACCTGGATTTGGAGGCGGCGGATTTGGCGGCGGCGGATTTGGCGGCGGCGGATTTGGCGGTCAACGTGGTCCTGGTGGCGGATTTGGCGGTGGTGGTGGTGGCTCTGCATCTGCCTCATCATCTTCCTCAGCATCTGCTGGCGGTGGCGGCGGTCGTGGCGGTGGTGGTGGTTCAGCTTCCGCTACCTCTTCAGCAAACGCTGCTTCTGGCGGCGGCGGTTTCCGCGGTTAAAAGTTATCTAATGCCATGAAGAAGAATTTTAATTTTTTATGATACGCTTGTAAAATTTAGTTTAAATCCGTTAAAAACACAAAACAATTGAGAAAAGTGGTCGTTTTATTTCTGGGAGTTTGTGTTTGAATATAAAATGATTGGATCGCCCTTTCGAAATGCCTTTGTACACACATTTATTTCCCTATACCTATCATATGCCTTACTCAAAACTACATAAAACTTTGCTGAGACTTTTAGATATTTATCTCTGCTCTCAACTGACGGAAGAGAATCGTATTTCCCATCTGATAAAATGATGTGTTCATTGTCCCTAATGGTTGTAGTGACTTATGAAAAGTTACATAAAAACCCGTCTACAAAAAAACTCGTTAAAGCGACCATTTGGCTAGAACAACAATTTGTACACTTGCTAGATGGGTATTATAAGTTTGTCTACATTTTATATTAAATACACAACGCATGTAATTTTTCAAAGTGATCATGTTTAGTTTATTAGTGAGATACTATATTTTTGACTTTTCGGTTATTAAGGCTGTAAAGAAATTTGAAATCTGTTTGCTTTGTTGAGAAAAATAGCCTTTTCTGATTAGATCTCCATAATGACGTTTCTTTCCGTTTATAAATGCAGCAAGTTATAATTTCAAAAACAAATATTGTTTGAAACAACAATGCAGTGATATGATATAACATATTCGAAATATTTGTATGTGACTAATTTTGGAAACATATCAGAATGACTTCGCTTGTTGCTTAGTTGATAAAAATAGCTTTACACGAGTTGGTTTCCATAACTACGTTTCTTAATATTTATAAATGCAGCCAGGTATTATAATAAATTGTTTGTAACCATAAACGCATTGATATATTTCTAAATATTTGCAATCAGATTTATTATAGAAAAACATCAGAAGGGCAACGCTCAATCAAACCGTTGTTTTGCGTTTTTGAACTACTTTTCCCAATTTAAGATTGCTAAATTGTTTTATATTTGTTAAGAAAAGAAAGCTGAAAGCTAATAGACAGACGGCACAACAAAAACTTAAAGAAAACTAGATAAACAGACACAAAGCCGCGCATCAGTTAACGACAGAGAGTGTTAAACAAAAATGACGTGGATGTTTGAGAACAGAAATCGCAAAGGAAATGGAAATTTTCGCAGCGGATTCGATAGTATTCATCATGTAATCGATGTATTTGCAATCGAAACTGCCAAATGAAGTGGAAGCGATGAAAGTGAAGTATTTTCATTTAGTTTAGTATTTTGGAGCTGTTTTATTTGTATGGCGAAATTGTAAAATACATTTATTAATGAAACCAGCAAGACTTCGCGGGAAAAACTTTTTCACCTAGAGTTTGACATAGTCCGAAATATGCTTACGAACGTATTTTTCGAATCGCGAAAGCGCGTATTTATGGAACATTTTTTACAACATGGAAAAAGGACATGAAAACAAAAATCGTTTTGAAATCTAATCACCAAAAGAATTTAATAAATAACTGTTTTTTTAGTAAAAATACTCAGGATGCCAAAATTTACATCAGAATCAGAATACAAGTAAAAAATCTAAAGTCGGGTGTGCCGACTTTGAAATACTCTGTACATATGTTAACAATAATTATAGAAAATAAAAAAAATTAAGAAAATAAAAAAAAAAATTTGATCGATTTTACCTCTCTCGGTATTCGAACTCACGTAAAGGGTGTATAATTGCACATTTACATAGCAATTGCGCCTGTGTGAGTGTATGTATGCCTATGCGCATCTATTCGTGTCTGTGTAAGCATTTTCGCAGTCAACCAAACAGCAACATCAACAATAGCCGCGGGCAGCGCTGCAGCAGCAAATATATTTATGGCTATAACTTCTCGTTACATCGGTCTATCATAGTGAAACTTCGCATACGGGCACATAATAACCAATTGGGGGTATTTCCAAATTTTAGTTCGAAATTCGAAGAATTACGGGAGTTACTATTAGTTTGAAATTCCAAGAATTACGGGAGTTAGAAAGCAGCAGCAAATATATTTATGGCTATAACTTCTTGTTAAATCGGTCTATCATGATGAAACTTAACATACGGACACATAATAACTAATTTTAGTTCGAAATTCCAAGAATTACGGGAGTTAGAGAAAATCGCATTTGCATGGGAGAGGGGGGAGGTAGGGAAATTCCAAAATACACATTTTCTGCGTATTCACATAAGGCATCTGGGACTAAAATTTGGTGTTAGATCTTATAGTCTCCGAGATATAGGCGATTATACGAATGGAAAATCGGGAAAAGCCCCATAGGGGAGAAGTGGGGGGGGGGGGGGAATCAAAAAAATAACACAAACTCGAATACACACATAAGGCATCTTTGTGCAAAATTTGGTGTCTCTATCTCTTATAGTCTCTGAGATCCAGGTGTTCATACGGACGGACAGACAGACAGACAGGGCTAGATCGACTCGTCTCGTCATGCTGATCAAGAATATATATACTTTGTGGGGTCTGCCACGCCTCCTTCTGCCTGTTACATTTTTCAGCTCCCGCAAACCTATTATACTTCTGTACATTTCATGTACAGAGTATAAAAACAAACTTGACCTGCCTAGGGCTCAGGGGAACCTGGACACCAAGTTTGGTCATTCTAGCTCTTGTACCTTCTGAGATCATAAAGACGGACAGACGGGCAGACGGACGGACGGACAAGGCTATATCGACTCGAATTGTCACCCTGATGAAGAATATATATACTTTGTGGGGTCTGCCACGCCTCCTTCTGTGTGTTACATACATTCGCACAAAACTAGTATAGCCTTTCACCCTTTGGGTACAGGCTATAAAAAAGATATATCCAAAAAATAATTGATATAAGAGTGATATAAAATGTATAGTATATAGCACGCGCCTTCTAACCGATCTATAGTTCTAGCTTATCTGTATGACTTTGCTGCGCATTTACGACTTAGCAAACATATTCTTATGATGGAATTAAAAAAAAGAACCGGCCGCTGTCCGTGCTAGTGTTGATCGAACACATTTGCACTCCTCCCTCGAGTCGCTCCGCCTGCAGCTTAGCATGCATTTGAGTGCCGTCATAATAATTTTAACAGTTTTGTTTTGTTTATGCCAAATCAGCTGTTTTCTCTCTACGAGTATATGGGAGTGAGCTCTCATTTGTATGCTAATTTTTTAACGTCTCTATATTGATATTCTTTTGTATTTGTTATTCGAGTGCCGGTTGATTCGACGCGTGTATAAAAGCTTAGGCCTGGGGTGTTGTATTCTAAGTTTGTTGAACGGCAACCGTCCAGATCGCAACCACATTATGAAGCTCTTCGTCGTACTCTCCGTTATCCTCGCTGTGGCTGTGGCTATGCCACAAAGGGGCAACAATGCCAATGCCAATGCTGGAGCTACTGCTACTGCCCAAGGTGCTGGTGGCATAGGCGGTGGTCATAAGGGCGGTCCAGGCGGTTTTGGCGGTGCTCCAGGAGGTTTCGGCGGTGCTCCAGGAGGATTTGGCGGCGGTCCAGGAGGTCTCAGTGGTCACGCAGTTCGTGGACCAGCTGGATTTGGCGGTGGTGCTGGAGGTGCCGGAGGTGGTTCGGCCAGCGCATCTTCCACTGCTGATGCTACTGCCAGTGGAGGCGGTGGACGTGGTGGCTTGGGCGGTGGTTCCTCTGCCAGTGCTACTTCCTCTGCTGTTGCCAATGGCGCCCGCGGTGGTAACGCATCTGCAACCTCATCTGCAACCTCATCTGCAACATCCAACAACAGGGGTTAGAAAGTTGTTTTTTAAGTACTTAAAAAAATAAAAATAAAAAAGACAAAAATTAATAGTTGTTTGAATTTCTTGTCATCGCTTCATATATAGTGTTAGTTGTTTACTTCTATTACTGGAATTTCCAGTATATTTAAGTAATGTGCTAAATTTCAAGCTATTGCTTTCAGTCTAAATGTTTGACTTTGAATCGTTTCACAGAAGTGATTTTTAAGTTTGAAGTTTTCTCTAAATGTTTTGTACTCAACAATAGGGTTCGCTCAACCTAATAACCATAATATAAACAGCAAATATTTAATTTTTTTATGGTGATATGTAAATTGTCAAAACCAGTTAGTACCTTTCTCTTTATAAATTACTGCACCATGAAGGAGAGCGGAGCTTTTTAGTTTGCGTTTAGTTTAGTGCGTATATCAGAATTAATATTAGTTTTGATTTGAAGTAACATATTTAATTAGCATCGGCCACATATGTACTTCTAGTAACTATATACTACAAGTATTTTAATATTCATTAAAGTTCTGTTTTGGTATTTGGTAAACAACGCAGTTTTTCTTGCCAACCTTATGTTGCTCTGAAACATACAAATACCCTTGAATCAATACATTAACTTTAATTCCTGTTTCCATCTTAATGCCTTTATTTTGAAGTTCTGAATTGAAATTAGCAATTGAGTGCTATGTTTATTGCGAGGCTAAAATTTACATCTGTGCTAAGCCTAATCACGGAATCAAATAATATTTTTTTTTTGTTTGTTTTTCTATCTTTATATATACTTTATACTACCTTTATATTCCTGCTCTCTAATGAAGCGGTCGAGCCGCTATTTGCTGCGATGTCTCCGTTATACATAAGTATGTCAAATCAAATCACATCTTCTGATTGGTTTTGTGGCGTCGAAAAAGTTTGTTTCAAATTCAATACATTTTTTATATTCTCATCCTTATGTATATGAAAAAACAAGTAAAATAGCTAAAGTTGGGTGTCCCGACTTTGAAATACTCTGTACACATGTTTACAGTAATTATAGAAAATAAAAAAAATGAAGAAAATTAAAAAAAAAAAATTTGGTTCGTTTTTACCTCTCTTGGTATTCTAACTCACGGCTGTATAATTGCACATTTACATAGCAATTGCGTCTGTGTGAGTGCATGTATGCCTATGCGCATCTATTCGTGTCTGTGTAAACATGTCAGCAGTCAATCAAACAGCAACATCAACAACAGCTGCGGGCAGCGCTTGTTAAATCGGTCTATCACTAATTGGGGGTATTTGCAAAAGTTTAGTTCGAAATTCCAAGAATTACGGGAGTTAGAGAAAATTCGCGATTTGCTGTGGAGAGGGGGAGGGGGGGGGAATTCCAAAATATGCGTTTTCTGCGTATTCACATAAGGCAACTTGGACTAAAATTTGGTGCTCCTAGGTCTTATAGTCTCCGAGATATACATTTCATGTACAGAGTATAAATAACGAAACAAGAAAATAATGCTAAAGTCGAGCAAGCTCAACTCTTAAATATCCTGTACATCCCACAAAAAAGGGAAAAATGAAAAAAAAATTTTTTTAATTAAAAGAAAGTATATTAATTAAATTATTTAATTAAATTAAAGACATGTTCATGTACAGTTTCAACAGCATACATTTACATCAGAATCGTGTCTCTGCGTATTTTTATGCGTGTATGTATGCAGCACAAAGTTGAACCAAAGCAGCAACAACAACAACAGCTGCGGGCAATGCTGCCGGCAGCGGTACAAGCAGAGCATGGGCAGCGATTTTATTTATGGCTATAACTTTCTTTAAAATTGACCTATCATGATGAAATACATAAATAAATAGATAAATAAATATACAGACACATAATCACTAACGGGATGTAGCAACCTAATTTTAGTTCAAAATTCCAAGAACTACGGGAGTTATGGGAAAAAACACGAATTGCGGGGGAGTGGGGGGGTGTATCAAAACAAAAAAATAAACTTGACCTGCCTAGGGCTTATGGGAATCTGGATACCGAGTTTGGTTATTCTAGCTCTTGTACCTTCTGAGATCCGTGCGCTCATACTGACGGACGGACAGACGGACGGACGGACGGACATGGCTATATCGACTCGGCTTGTCACCCTGATCAAGAATATATATACTTTGTGGGGTCTGCCACGCCTCCTTCTGTGTGTTACATACATTCGCACAAAACTAGCATAGCCTTTCACCCTTTGGGTACAGGCTATAAAAATTAGTGAAATAAATAAAACCAATATTGTATAATGGTGAAATCAACAGGTTCTACCATTGTTTGAGCAGATGCTGGCCAATATGCAAATCGATTTAGCTACCGCACAAAATTGTTTTTCAACAAATGTTAATTCGTTGTTTAAAGTCGATGAAAAAACATTTGAAATTTGTTTATTCTGCATTAAGTATTGGCGTCAGTCGAATATTCATATGCATGAGCTTCACATTAGTGGGATTATTTAACTAAACTAAGCTAAAGAGAAACGTGTCGACAAACAAAATGGAAAAAGCGGAGAGTTCAAGTAATGAATACGATCTACTATTATATTTATAAATAAGCACTTTTTGACGCACCCTTTTTTCGCCAATATATTCATGTAAGAGTATTACTGGTTTATTTAATTTGGTATCAACCAAAAGGAGGCGCGTCACTGACCGCAAGGTGTAAATATTCTTGGTGACATGACAAAACTTGTTGGTCTAGACTCTAGACAAACTCGTATACACGTATGTTCTTTCGAATATCGGACATCCTGTTCGCCTGTTCCCAATGAAGATGCCAAAAAACGTAAAATTCGTTCCTTTAATTGAAGAACCTTTAACCCTCTAACAGGCAAAACTGTAAAACGTATCCAATCAACCTGATATTTTTTATGAGTACATAAGACAACCTCCTCAAGACGGTCTTGCCCGATTACGTATAAAAAAAGAGTCAGGTAGTTGTTAATGAAATAATGAATTTTTATTCACAAAAATGTATGAATGTATTTTCTTGTCATTATATATAATTGTGGTGGTAGTTCCAGAAGCAGTTTTTACCAACTGTACCACACAAATTGAGATTACATTTCGAAGAAACCATTTGGGTATAGGACTTTTTGCATTGCTTACATCTCTTTTACCATCGAATCGAATATCAACAACTGGATGTCTCCCTTTCCTACAGCTGATGTAAAAGTTTTTGGTGTTCGCGGCCGGCCGACAATTCTTTTTGCCTTGAAGGATATCAGTCCAGCAGCTATTTCTTCTTATTCTTCTTCTTCTTTTGAAGTTTGTACATAAAAGCCGGCACAAATGCATAGTTCCGGTTATGCATTCATGGCAAAATGAAAGAAGAGCCTAAGCATTTTCCCAATCTTGGCTCGAATGGGGCAGTTATATTCCGTAACAATTTGCGGGCAATCAATTTCTACATATATTTTCTCCTCCGAGGTGTTTTTGCCATTTTATGATCAGTATTTATTCTGGCAAGGGTAAAACTCAAACATCCGTTGATACCAGGCGAACACAGTCCTGTCTTGCCAAAAAACAATGTTTACATCTATTGCTTGGATTGAAGTCGTACCTTGTGGAAAATTCCCTTTCTTCTAATTCCATTCGGTTGGTAATTTACACCCCGGTATAGTATTAGCTAAAATTGCAAAAGAGCATTTATTTATAATTACCAAAAACTATATAAGAACTATAACCATACCCAAACCCGTAAATATAATAATTTTATTTTGTACATTTTTTGATATTTCATTTTGGGCTGCTAATAAGCAAATGATTATGGAAACTTATGCAAGACAAATGAACCCAAAACGGCTCCACGTCGATGTCGATGTTACGGATACTCTGGAGGAACACTCCCAAGGAAGCAGTCGGGTCGACAGACCTAAAGACGACAACCTGGCGGCGGATTACCTTCAGAATTTAACCGAGAAACAACACCACATGGGAGACAAAAAGACGGCTAGAAATTGAGAGTCAGATGGAAAAATGTTCTTGTAGACGCTCTAAGCTCCCAAGCGGAGTAAAAAGGAATAAAAAACAAGTAGAGAAGCTAAAGTCAGGTATCCCGACTTTGAAATACTCTGTACATATGTGTAGAATAATAATGCGTGTATGTGTGTATTTGTGTGTGTCTGTGGACGTCTCGTGTGCCTGAGCAAAGCAGTAACATCATCAGCTGCGGGCACTGCTTGGTGTTATGGCCTATCATTATGAAACTTGGCATTTGGACTTATAATCACTAACTGGAGGTATTGCAGATTATGGATTGCGGCGGAGAGGGGGGAGAGAGGGAAATTCCAAAATACAAATTTTTGGCGTATTCACAAAAGGCATCTTGGACTAAAATTTGGTTTTCCTAGGTCTTATAGTCCGAGTAAATTGGCGATTATACGAATGGAAAATCGGGAAACCCCCATAGGGGGGAAGTGGGGGGAAAATCAAAAAAATTACACAAACTCGTATAGAATACACACATAAGGCATCTTTGTGCAAAATTTGGTGTCTCTATCTCTTATAGTCTCTGAGATCCAGGTGTTCATACGGACGGACAGACAGACAGGCAGGGCTAGATCGACTCGTCTCGTCATGCTGTTCAAGAATATATATACTTTGTGGGGTCTGCCACGCCTCCTTCTGCCTGTTACATTTTTCAGCTCCCGCAAACCTAATATACTCTTGTACATTTCATGTACAGAGTATAATGACGAACTTCTTGCTAAAGCGACCACGGATGCAAGCTAAAAGCATTCACTGTGGACTTTCGCTAAACGGCACAAGCAGCAAGTGACTCCAAAGTTTCCAATAAAAAGGCCTGATGGATCCTGGGCTGGAACTCAAAAAGAAAGAGCAGAGGCTTTTGCACTGGACTTGGAGGCACGGTTCCAGCCATATAGTACCAGCTCAACAACCACTCAAAACGAAGTACAACTGGCGCTCGAGAGTCCGGAACAGCTATGTCCCCCGGTTGCTCCCATTACAGTGGAGGAAGTCAC